CTGTTTTCCTTGTTACCTTCTGGGAGGAGACTTCGTGGTATCCATAGCAGAACATCCAGATTCAGCCAGAGTTTCATTCCGTAAAGCATTAACCTTGCGAACTCTCAAGCTTCCTCCTTCCGTTATATATTCAAGATGGACAATGTTTAATATTTATTTGCTACGTATATGTAGAGATGTGGGTCTATACATATGTTGTTCGTAGTATGTTTAGGTGTGTGTCATGTATGTGTTTTACTTTGAGAGCGGGCAACTAAATTTCATTTTTGATGTGTCCCATTGTGCCCACAGTATAAAAATGACAATAAAGATAATCTAATCTAATCTTATCTTATCTTATCTTAATTCTAATTATTTCGGATTTAGCGTGGAGCAAGAAATAAATATACTGTACATTCACAAGATAACTACTTTCTTGACCTTGCGGTTAGTTGATCTTCTTTTCATTTGCCACCCAGGAAAAACCTCTTCCGTTCTGAAAGGCTGAGCACTTAAAGTAATGGATAAAATTATGGAAAACTCTTTCCTGTGCTTCCACATATTCCCCAAAGACCACAGATATATTACTATGCACCACATAGAAGTCATCTGTCAGAAGGAATCGGTCCCATTTGCTACTGTGATTGGTGGGTGGTTTTGGCAGATGATGGCTAGATTTGCAAGTTTAGCCATCTCATAAATTTATTCTGGGCTTCTCTCCCTGCAGCGATAAAGCCAAGGGTTGTTGGCAGTGTTCCCATTGCCTTACCTACACAAAGTTGATTGTACCTCTACACTTCCGCTTTTTTCCAGGAGATGCAACCCATTAGTTGAGAACTCTTGACTTAAATTGATCAGTGTCTCTCTTCTCAGTTTGAAAATTAGATGGGTGAACATTTTATGGTTACTTGCCGTACATCATCATCATCATCATCATCATCATCATCATCATCATCATCATAATGATGATGGAAGGGACCTTGGAGGTCATCTAGTCCAACCCCCTGCTCAGGCAGGAAACCCTACACCATTTCGGACAAATGGCTGTCCAGTCTCTTCTTAAAAACTTCCAGTGTTGGAGCATTTACTGCTTCGGGAGGCAGGTTGTTCCACTGATTAATTGTTCTCACTGTCAGGAAGTTTCTCCGTAGTTCTAGGTTGCTTCTCTCCTTGATTAGTTTCCACCCGTTGCTTCTTGTCCTGCCCTCAGGTGCTTTGGAAAATAGCTTGATTCCCTCTTCTTTATGGCAGCCCCTGAGATATTGGAATACTGCTATCCTGTCCCCCCTCGTCCTTTTCTTCGTTAAACTAGACATACCCAATTCTAGCAACCGTTCCTTATATGTTTTAGCCTCCAGTCCCCTAATCAACAATTCCAGGCCACTCTATCATTATGGTTACTACCACAAAGTTGCATGTAAATTATATCACATATTATATTTTGGGTGTCCTTTTTTTTTTTTTTTTTTGCTGTACATTATATATGCTACTATAAGGCAGCTGGCAGTTGAAATGGATATTTAAAATAGCCTTTGGATATAAAGTGCTGTATATGTATCTGTAGCTAAGTATTAAGTACTGAGTCATATAGCATCAGAGTCTGGTTTGGAAGCATCCCTGCTTCAGACAGGAAGGCGGTGCAGAGAGTGGTGAGGATGGCAGAAAAGATCATTGGCAGTTCCCTCCCTCCCATCCATCAGATAGGAAGGCGGTGTAGAGAGTGGTGAGGACGGCAGAAAAGATCATTGGCAGTTCCCTCCCTTCCACCCAGGACATGGCACAGAAGCCTTGGTTGAGCAGGATTATTTGGGACATCACACATCCTCTTCACAACCTGTTTTCCTTGTTATCTTCCGGGAGGAGGGGGCTCCGTGGTATCCGTAGGCTTGGAGATACCTGTTTTGGAAGAAACTGGATTAGAATAGGTGCACGTAAAATCAATATGACTTTAAACAAGGGCGTAAAATGGTCAATAAAGGAGTCCTTTATCAGAGGAGTGATTATTTATTCTGCTCACAGCTGGTGGTGTCATAATGTTTACTGGGGTTTGCAGAGGACGTGCACAGAACAAAAAGGGTCAGGATGCCAGAAGACTTCCTTCTTATCTGCAGCATTAGATGTGTACCTTGAGAATTGCACAAGGCTAGCTGCAGGTAATCTCTTCCGAAGAGAAGCAAACGGAGAGATGAGAAAAGGTTCAGGAGAGAAGTAAACATAAAGAGACCAAAAAAAGAAAAAAGATGAAACAAACCCACGGTATACTTAGGCCTTACAAAAAGATAGCCATCGACAGTAATAGTTTAGCTTCTTGTGGGAATTGTGTCATTCAGCTGCGGTTCAAAAAGCCTTGCTGAATTTTCACTAACTGCCATTGTTGAAAAAAGATTGACATGCTGAAAATAAAAGAAGAGTGACTATTCAAACCAATATTATGACGCCCTTGCTGTAGAATTTTAGAGCATGTGTGGAATCAGAGCTCTTCCCCGCAATAAATGTGCATCTCCTGAACTGACTGACTGATTTTCTCTCTCCCCCCTCCCTTCCTCCATCTCCCTCCTTCCCTCCCTCACTCCCTCCATCTCTCTCTCTCCCTCTCTCTGTCTCTCCATCTCTCTCTGTCTCTCTCCTTCCATCTCCCTCTCTCCCTCTCTCTGTCTCTCCATCTCTCTCTCTCTCCCTCCTTCTCCCTCCCTCCATCTCTCTCCCTCCATCTCTCCCTCTCCATCTCCCTCCTTCCATCTCTCTCCCTCCCTCCATCTCTCTCTCTCCCTCTCTCTGCCTCTCCATCTCTCTCTGCCTCTCCTTCCATCTCCCTCCATCTCTCTCCCTCCCTCTCTCCCTCTCCATCTCCCTCCTTCCATTTCTATCCCTCCCTCCCTCTCTCCCTCCCTCCCTCTCTCTCTCTCCCCCTCCATCTTTCTCTCCCCCTCCATCTCTCTCTCTATCCCTCCCTCCCGCCACCTCTCTCTCCCTCCCTCCATCTCTCTCTCTCTGATTCTCTCTCTTTCTCCCTCCCTCCCTCTCCCTCTCTCCCTCTCCTTCTCTCCAGTGTTTTCATATAACTCTTTGGCAGTCTAATTAAAATTGTCAATGTCTTGTCTGTCGGGCATTCATCATTTTGGAAAGGCCACATCTGTTCTTTTGTTATATTCCTGCTACCAGAGCTAGATACAATCCAAGACTTGGCTATGCTAACCCGCCTAACATCCCCATGAATCTTCCTTTGAGGGAGCAATCTGGTCAGTTGATTTGAAAGCTTCAGAAGGCGGCTGATCTCATACTTGAAATGAGATGATTCTCTTTTCAGCGGTCCCGTATTCTGATGTGAGGTTTCTTCCCCACTCTCATTTCTGTAAAATAAAGCCTCCTTTGAATCATCGGCATCTTTGTAGCACAGGGTTGAACTGTGAGACCCTTGCTGCTGTTTGAGCTTGGTGGTTTTCTTGCAGACCTTTTTTTGACCCAGCTAGGTAACATTATCAGTGCTAGAAGGGAGTGGGGTTTTCTCTCTGTTTATATTAGTGGCTTGCCATGTCAGTATTGGTTGGAAGTGTTTTCTTCTTGGTAGTTCTTGATTTGGTTGTTGTTTAATGTTGGGTTTCTTGATCGGGATATTGTTTACTGCAGGGGTCTTCAAACTTGGCCACTTTAAGACTTGTGGACTTCAACTCCCAGAATTCCTCAGCCAGCCAGGGCTGGCTGAGGAATTCTGGGAGTTGAAGTCCACAAGTCTTAAAGTGGCCAAGTTTGAAGACTCCTGATTTACTGCTTGATTGCTGGTCTAGCATTAATCTTCGTTTTAATCTCTGCTTATTTGGGTGTTGATTGCAGGCTGGGGGAGTGTTTTAAGTCTTTTCTTCTTGTTTCTTTTTTCCTTTTTTTGTTTTTCTCTTTGGAATCGTATGTAGATATCCATTGAATTCCTTTAAATTGAGTTAGGCTTGTGGTGACTTCAGGCCCACATCCATTGGCTTTTCTTGGCAACCCTAAGAAAGTAGTTTGCCATTGCTTTTCTCTTTTCACAACTTTGTGGTCTTGTCTATAGCCCTGGGATTTCCTGAAGGTTTTCCATCCAGTACTAACTAGGTCCAATTCTCCTTTTTTTGGTTCTTTTTGTTTCCGAGGCCCACCAAGGGTTATTAGCATTAATAGCAGGTATGAAGATTTCAGTACAGTATCTGGGATTGTCCATGCCCTTATTATGGAGAATAGGCTGATATTTCAGCATAAGGAAGATAAATATACGCTTCCTTTCGCTGAATGGATTGAAGATTTGATTCTACTTGACACCAGTGAGTGAATTGGTTATAGATGTAAGCTTTGTATAATCAAATACGGGACTTATTTGTAGAGAATACAGTAAGTTAAAATATCATAATGTAAGTATGAGAAATATATACGTCTTCAATAATAAGTGGAATAGGCAAGTAGGCCTAGAATTACAACTTTATACTTATGATATATATTATGTTTCCTTTGTCATCTTTTTTTCACTTTTCTGTTAGAAGGCTTTTCATGTTTTTTCTTCCGTTTGACGATGTATTATTTTTTGTGTTTTGCTCCTTTTTGTATTTTTGCTATTAATTAAAAAGCAATAAAATAACTGCCAAGCAAATAGTTCTCGATTTACAACAGTTCATTTAGTGACCGTTCTAAGTTACAACGGCACTGAAAAAAGTGACTTAATGACCACTTTTCAGACTTACGGCCATTGCAGCAGCCCAAGATCATGTGATCAAAATTCAGACACTTGACAATAGACTCATATGACAATTGCAGTGTCCCGGGGTCACGTGATCACCACTTAGCCACCATGTTAATAACTTAACAACTACAGTGATTTCATTTAACAACTGTGGCAAGAAGCATCTTAAAATGGGGCAAAATTCACTTAACTGATGTTTCATTTAGCAACAGAAATTTTGGGCTCAATTGCTGACGTAGGTTGAGGACTGCCAGTGTCTAATATTTATTTATTTATTCCATTTCTACAGTCACCTGTCCCAATCCAACAGACTCTGGACCATGAGGCAACATCTCAATAATTAAAACCACAAAACCACAAAAACGGTTACAAATTATACATATAGGAAACCAAAAATTATCATAATGAGTACATAAAATTAGCAGGAATCAACATGCAAGTTAATATCAAAAAGGTACGATTGATATTGTTTATGATGTGCGTGTCTTCCATTACATCAAGTAATTAGATTACATTTCAGACCTGCTCGTGAACTGGAACGGTGCATATTAATTGAATTGTGCAGGAGTGAAAATTTCAGAATTGTTTTTGTGGATATTTGTTGTATAATATAATATATAATATCCTAAGTAGTTTACATAATGGATGTAAAGAAGGAATGAAAATTTACTGCGTTAAAACACCGTTTTCTCTGTTAATTGATTTTTAGTAATTAGCAGTTGAGATAATAATGTAATATGCCTCTGCAAAGATGAATGGATATTTTAAGAATGTGCGCACTTAGCTATAATTGGTCTTTTTAATGGATTCAAATATAAATCTGTGAAAAGTACTTGCGAAAAATGGAAGGACCATTTATAAAAGACTCTGGCAAATCGTTTAAAGTGATGGAATTTCCTTTTATAAATGCTTTAAGACTGTTGTCAACGGGCACCAGAGTGGTACCAGTATGGTACCCAACTTGCTTACACATACAGTAGAAACATATGCTTCAACATGGAAACAGATGCTGCCAACTGAAATAACTACATGTATATTTACACATTAATGATGTTACAGCTACAAACACACCAAACAGCAAACTTAAAAGGCCAATCAAGCAGCTCTCATCAACTTCATCTCTCTACAACAGGGGTGGCAAACTCAATTTCATTGAGGGCCGCATCAGCATTGCAGTTGTCCTCGTGGGATCGGGTAGGTGTGGCCAGGGTGGGCGCGGCCTACTGGGTGGGCATGGCTGGAGTGGGTGTGGCCTATTGGGTGGGCGTGGCCAGCTCTACATCGTTTACGTCAAGGGTGCCTGTGGGGGCCTGGGCAGGAGTGGGACAGATCTGAGGGTCTCTGGCAGAAGGGGGTGGGACCGGGGTAAGCGCCAAGGCATGGCCCACTGGAGGAGTCTCACTGCCTGCTGAAACCTCTCCCCCGGAGCCCATCAAGCCAAATATGTGAAGTAGGCGAGGGCCATTTGCTAGCCACTTCCAGGCGATGGTGCATTTGTTCATTCCTCACAAAGGGTGACCCCTTCCCAGCATGCACCCAGGGGGCGAGGCCGACATGGCAGGGGCTGGTTCCTCGCTGTTTTCAAGCAGCCTTGTGGAGCTAAGACTGAATGCATTTCAGCATAGACGGCCGCCCCAAAATTCTACAGTGGCTCCCGGCTGGCCTGGGCCAGGGCCAAGGCAGCGGGGGCCGTTCCCTCACTGTTTCCAGGATGGCTTCGCGGGCTACATGAAACCACTTTGCGGGCCGCATCCGGTCCCCGGGCATTGTGTTTGACATGTCTGCGCTACAACCTTGAATTAGAAATGTCTCAAAGCAATTAAAATATTGATTGATAACCCACTTTTTTTTTCATAAATATGCTTCCTCCTCCTGTAGATTGGGCTGAGAGAGAGAGAGAGAGAGTGATTGGCCCAAAGTCACCCAATTGGCTTTCATGGCTAAGATGGGACCGGAACTCACCATCTCCTGGTGATTAGCCCAAATTCACCCAGCCAGGTTTTATGCCTGAGGTAGAACTAGAACTCACTGTCTCCTAGTGATTGACTCCCGCCCCACAGATTTCACTGCTTTTGCATTATGTGAAGTGCCTCTTTTGAAGGATTTCAGAGGAAATTGTGTAGTCTTGGGAGGAATAGAGCACCCTGGCAACAAACTCTTACATTTTCTGCATCCCTAGAGAAATGTGTTGTGAGGCTTTCAAAGCTCTTTGCAACCCGTCAATTGTATTTCAGCTTTTCTCTTTGCTACATCTATATGCAGAGTCCTAAATAGCTACGTACTTAAGAACCAGTAGAGTCCTTCAAAATACTTCACTAAGTGCTCATATTTGAGAAGTTCCATCCGCCTTTATGCCTCGACCCTCCATCAGGTGAAAGTAGCTAGCAATTTGTTTCAAGAGTAAAACTTCACTTCAATTTCTTTCCTGTTCATATTCTGTATTTATTTCATCTCTCCGTCTCTTGTTAGTCGTAATGAGTTTTGTGCCTTGTTTGTTATAATATAGTAACGGTAACAGTCACAGAGTTGGAAGGGATATTGGAAGTCATCTAGTCCAACCCTCTGCTCTCGCAAGAGACCCATACTATTTCTGATAGATGGCTATCCAGTCTCTTCTTAAAAGCCTCCAATTTTTGTGATACCCACAATTTCCAAAGGCAATTTATTCCACTGGTTAATTGTTCTCACTGTTAGGAAATTTCTCCTCAGTTCTAGGTTGCTCATCTCCTTGGTTAGTTTCCATCCGTTGTTTCCTGTCCTGCCTTCAGCTGCTTTGGAGAATATGTTGACCCCCCTCTTCCTTGGGGCAACCCCTCAAATATGGGAAGACTGCTATCATGTCACCCCTGGTCCTTCTTTTCACTAGATTAGGTATGCCCAATTCCTGCCATTGTTCTTCATAAAATGTTATCAAAGAGGTGCAACCCATTTCTTGACAGAAGCCCTTCCTGTGTGTAGTGTAGACCCTGGTCCAGGAATTCAGCATTTTAGCCGGGACATTCAGAATCTTCTGTTGCTCAAGCCATGACCTTCGGCTGAAAATGTGAACAAAAAACTGTACCTGTGCTTCAAACTCCTTTGTCTTCCTGACAGGATCATGATAGCCTCATGATAGTTCCATATTTTTTTTCTGGCAGTGTCATTTGTTCCAGGATAAAGCAGAAAACAAAAGGGACAATATTCAGCAGTCAGGTCAGCTTCTCTACAAATCTGGGAAAGACCACACTGTCAACACTGCAACAATCCTGCAACAATCCAGTTTTGGTCATCACAATGTAAAAAAGATGTTGAGACTCTAGAAAGAGTACAGAGAAGAGCAACAAAGATGATCAGAGGACTGGAGGCTAAAACATATAAGGAACGGTTGCTGGAATTGGGTATGTCTAGTTTAATGAAGAGAAGGACGAAGGGGAACATGATAGCAGTCTTCCAGTATCTCAGGGGCTGCCCCAAAGAAGAGGGAGTCAAGCTATTCTCCAAAGTGCCTGAAGGCAGGACAAGAAACAATAGATGGAAACTAACCAAGGAGAGAAGCAACCTAGAACTAAGGAGAAACTTCCTGACAGTGAGAACAATTAACCAGTGGAACAACCTGCCTCCAGAAATGGTGAATGCTCCAACACTGGAAGTTTTTAAGAAGAGACTGGACAGCCATTTGTCCGAAATGGTATAGGGCAGTGATGGCGAACCTTTTAGAGACCGAGTGCCCCAAAACTGGCCCCGCCCCTGCTCCACCCCCTGCCCCGCCCACACTCCGCCCCCATCCTGCTTGCCCGCACGGCCACTCACTGCCTCCAGAGCCCACCGCAGATCGCCCAGCAGTGCCATGGCGGCCACGCCCTCTGCCCATGCCCCACAGCATCAACTGTGCGCAATGAGGTGTGGGCCACGCTCAGGAGCGACTCTCCTCTGGGGGGGTTGCTGGTGAGGGGATCGCGAGGGGAGGCAAGGCTGGGGCAACGGCACATGTGCCTACAGAGAGGGCTCCGAGTGCCGCCTCTAGCACCCTTTCCATAGGTTTGCCACCACTAGTATAGGATTTCCTGCTTGAGCATGGGGTTGGACTAGATGACCTCCAAGGTCCCTTCCAACTTTATTTTTTATTATTATTATGGATCATCGCACAGTCAGCCAGATGTTCAGACTGGATTTGGCATTTTGTCTACCTATCGAGTCCTTACCCAGGACCTGGGATAGGCAGATGTGGATGTTTGATGGTATTACAGATATCGTCGCAGGATGGAAGCAGTTCCTAGTAAGGCAGCCTTTTGCAATTGACTAATAGCGAATTTGTCAATGCCAATGAAGTTCAAGTGGTGCTCCAGTTGTTTTGGGATTGCACCCAAGGAGCCTATGACTATTGGTACTACCCTTGCTTGCCTTTGCCACAGTCTTTCTATTCCTATTTGTAGGTCTTTGTATTTTGTTATCTTCTCCAGTTCTTTCTCGTCTGTTCTTTTTTATTATGATGATGATGATTATGATGATGATGATGACACTGCTACGGGTGGCTCACAGTAAAAGGCAATAAAAAAAATAAGAAAACGCCAAACAAATGGCAAATCCAGTTAATACAGAGGTCCCCAACCTTTTGGGCACCAGGAACCGGTTCCATGGAGCTTTTTCTGCGGACCACAGGGTGCACGGTTGTGTGTGCTGCCTGCATCCTACGGATGGGGCTTTGCTTGTTCGTGCGGACTGTTTGCTGGCATAACGCGGCCCAGTACCGGTCCACGGACCGGCGGTTGGGGACCCCTGAGTTAACATATATAAAACAAATGTCATCAGAGATTCCAGCCATCCTAATCCAAGTCTGGGAGGAGAGCCGGCTCTTTAAAGCTTTCTAGAGTGGCATTAGAATGGGAATCCTAGGGTTGTTTTCTGAAACCCAGGTTAAGCTGAAGCTGCAGAACTTCATCTGGATAATCATTTCAACATTTGCAAACATTTTTACAGCAACCATTCAAAGCTACATCTTTTAGTTACTGCTTAGATATGCCTGCTTCCGTAGAGTGGATGGGCCTCCTTGAAGAGCAGAAGCATTTATACGTCGGCAAATAATAATAATAATAATAATAATAATAATAATAATAATACGACAGAGAAGAAGAAGAAGAAGACGACGACAAAGCACTACATGGCCAATACATAAAAAAATAGCTGGGAAAGCAGATAATAATAAAACCTGGCAATGGCTAAGAGCAGGAAAATTGAAGAAAGAGACCGAGGGACTAATTCTGGCTGCACAAGACCAAGCCTTAAGGACAAATGCATATAAAGTCAAAATTGAGAAGACAGCAACAGACAATAAGTGCTGCCTATGCAAAGAAGCTGAAGAAACAGTGGACCACCTGGTAAGCTGCTGCAAAAAGATTGCACAAACTGATACAAGCAGCGGCACGACAAAGTAGCAACAATGTGCATTGGAAGATCTGCAAAATATATCATGTGCCT